GAGCCCCCCCCCCATGCCGGAGGGGCGCGGCAGGCGTCGGGCGCTGCGTCACTAGGGGGACCAAAAGTGACATAAACATAAAAACTAGGAGGTCCGCGCGGAGTTCTCGGATCGGCGCTGGGGCCCCCCGGCGGCGCCTCCGGCGCCGCCTCTGGCGCGCGGCGCGCGCCAGGGAGGGGGTTCCAGCGCCGATCCGAGAAATCCGCGCGGACCTCCGAGTTCTTATGTTTATGTCAGTTTTTGTTCCAATAGTTGCGTCACGGGCCCAGAGATCCAACGCATTGAAAAAATCAGCGCGCAGGTTTTTCGCAGTTTTCGGCCTCGAAGGGCCCTCGCCGGGCCCCGGGGCCGTCAGAAAACGACTCCGGACGAAGAACAGGTCCTGGGGAACTCCGCAGGCTCGCGCGGGCGTCACGGCGGACCGCTGACGTGGCGCATTCCACCACGCTTCTCCAAGCGCCAGAGGGCACGGCGGCTGCGGCGGACAAGGAGGGGGAGGAGGAGGAGGAGGAGGAGGAGGAGGAGGAGGAGGGGAGGAGAGGAGGAGGGGAGGAGGAGGAGGAGGAGGAGGAGCAGGAGGAGGAGGAGAGGAGGAGGAGGAGGGAGGAGGAGGAGGAGGAGGAGGAGGAGGAGGAGGAGGAGGAGGAGGAAGAAGAGAAGGGGGAAGGAGCAGCAGGGGGAGGATGAGGAAGAGGTGGAGGACGCGGAAGACGAGGAGAGGACGTCGTCCTCCGTCGTCGTCCGAATCTGGGCCAGCAGCGTCGGAAGAGGTGGGAGGGGGTACGCGGGAAGGGGTTAGATGGCAGGGGCTGCCCGTCGACTCGATGCAGATATCGGCAGCTTTTCGGGGCTGGCAGCACGCCTGTTGGGGTCCCGATTGCTGTGCATGACTTCCAGCTTGCCTCGTGCAAGTCCCACCACCGTGCCAGCACGGCCCTGTGTTGTGGCGACTGTTCGAGCACCTCCGTGTGGGCCGCGGCCCCGAAGTCGTGCCTCGGTGACGCGCGTGCACACCAGTGCGGCTTGCTTACGATCTGGGTCGGCGCGGTGCACGTCCGTGCCTCTGGCGGCACGTTTCGAATGCGTGCTGATGCGTAGCCATTTTGGCTTCAGGGGCGCGCCTGCCGCGGCGGCGGCCCCGCGGCGCCTGATGCCTTTTCATGGAGGCCTCTCCCTCGACGGAGCATGTCTGCTGACGTGGCTGCTGCTGGGCGGGTGTCCTCCTGCAGCTCGGACGCACGAGCTGGACAGCCAAGCGCTGGCGCAGCAGGCAAATGCTGTACTGCGGCTGCCCCTACGAACGAGCGGCCGCTACATCGTCGACGCAGGCGGCCTGCGCGTGCGGCTTGCATGCGTCAACTGGTACGGGGCTCACCTTCCGCAGATGGCCATGAATGGTCTCAACCATCAGAGGGCAGACAACATCGCGAAGACCATAGTGGGCTACGGCTTCAACTGTGTTCGCCTGCCCTTCAGTATGGACATGGTGTTCCGCAATTTGACGCATGTGCCCCACCCGAATAAATCGCTCAGAGCCAATCCCGAGCTGATGGGCAAGAGCCCGATCGAGGTGTTCGATGCTGCGCTCCAGGCTCTCACCGATAGGGGCCTGATGGTCATTTTGAACAACCACGTGTCCAGCAGCAAGTGGTGCTGCACACCCTTCGACGGCGAGGGGCTGTGGTACACTGCCAAGTACTCCGTGGAGAGGTGGCTGGACGGCCTCGCGTGGGTGGCCAGGCGGTACAAGAGTAACCCTCTGGTGGTGGGCTTCGACCTCCGCAACGAGGTCCGCACCTCCAGGCTGGGAAGCCCCACGTGGGGCGGTGGGCCACCAGACAACGACTGGGCCCGCGGCGCCGTGGAGGGCGCGACCCGGGTCCTCGGCGAGAACGGGGACATGCTGATCATCATCTCTGGCCTGGAGTTCAGCATCCTGCTGTGCGACGTGCCGCGCGCGCCCGTGCACCAGACGGTACCCAGCCTCAGGAACCGCACGGTCTACACCGTCCACGAGTACCACTGGTTCAATATCCACGTTTCGGTGGGCTCGGTGGCGAAAGCTCGGCGGCGAGCCAGGGGGGGAATCGAGAAGGAGAAGGCCTTCTCAGAAGGCTCGGAAGTCCCCTGGCCTTCCGAGAAGCTTCCGGCGCCTCCCCCGCAGGGCGCAACAACAACTCCTCGGCAGGCGTCAGGGCTTCCGAGAGGCCCCGCCGCCTTCCGAGCAGGACTCCTCCCTCTCGATTCCCCCCCTCGCCCGCCGCCGACGAGCCCTGTCGATTGGCGGCCTCGTGGTCCTCGCCGCCGCGCTGTGCGGCGCGTGTGCCCACCAGCGCGTGCGCCGCTGGCGCGCGCAGCAGCGCCGCGCCGCCGACGCCGGCGCGCCCGCTGTGCGCCCCGCCCGCCCCGCCCGCTGCAGCAGGTGCCGCTGCGCCCTGCCGCGGTGGCTCGGGCCGGCCGCCGGCGTTGCGCTGGCCCTGCTCTCGGTGCTGTGCCGCTGCACGAGCCGCGCGTGGCTGCGCACCTGCAACTTCTGGAAGCTCAGCTCGAAGAAGCGGCAGCGGCATGAGCACATACTTTGGGCGCTCCGAGCGGAACTCCTGCAGCCGCGCCTTGGCCCCCCCGGCGGCGCCGCCCTGGCGCGCTCCGCGCGCCAGGGGGTGGGTCCAGTGCAGACCCACGAAGTCCGCGCGGAGCGCCAAAAGTTTGTGTTTATGGCGAAACGTTCTTCTTCCTTCATCGCCGGCGAGATCCTCGGGGTCTGCTGCCTCCTGCTCGCCTCGGCGGGCGCCGTCGTCTGGCTGTGGCTCGCCCTCGCCTGCTGGAGGAGGAGCACCGAGCGGCGCACCGGGGCGCAGGCGGAGGCCGCCGAGGGCGCCGTGCCGACGTGTCGGGGGCTGCCCCCGGGAGCCGCCGCCGGCGCTGCTGCTGCAGCGGCTCGGGCGCCCCGGATCCCCAGCGACTCCGCGGCGCCGGGGCAGAGCCAGGGCCTGCAGCTGCCGGCGGTTCCTGCCGGCGCCGCGCCGCCCTGCGCAGAGGGACGCCTGCCAGGCGACGGGCCCAGCAGGCCCGGGGGCAGCCCCTCGGGGAGCAGCAGCGCCAACAGCAGCATTCACTGGCAGGAGGGCGGCCCGGAGCCTCCCCTGCAGGACGGGGGCAGGGGCGGCGTCCCCTCGGGACTGGAGCGCCTCCACCGCCAGAAGCGGCGGCTGGACCACGCCCTCTCCACGAGATGCTTCCTGGTGTCCATGTACGTTGCGCTGCTCAGCGCTTTGGTCTTCGCGTGGTTCGACCTCGAGCCCTACGAGGCCTTCGAGGCGGAGTTGGACAAGCGCTGGGGCTTCTTGCTGGAGGGACCCGACGCTGTGCCCGTATGGCTGGGCGAGTTCGGCTCCAACCAGCACAGCGACCTCGAATGGGCCCACATCCAGAGGTATCCAGCTGCCTGCGGCAAGTCCCGCCACCGTGCCAACGCAGTACTCTTGGTCGCGAGAAGCTTCGAGCCTGGAGCACCGAATACCGCAACATGTGACACGTCTCGTTTCTGTTTTGTGATGGGCTCTCGCTGGGGGTCTGTCTGGGCCACCTTGGGGGCTGACTCGAGCTCATGTGGGGCCCCCTTTGGGCCTTCTTGGGGCCCTGTTGATGCCCTCTGGGCTGTCCCGATGCTGTCTTGAGCAGTCTTGGGCCCCTCCCGGCCGCCTGGGGGGTGTCCTGGGGGCCTCTTGGAGCCCTCTCGGGACGTTGTGTGGGCGCCTTAGGCTGCCCTGGCCCCGCTTGAGGGCCGTCCTGGTGCCGCTGTGGGGGGCCCTCCGAGGCTCTCGTGGAACCATCTCGGGCCGAGAAGCCCAGGCAACCTGTGGGCTTCATAGGCCTTTGGATGATTTTGGCCTTTCTGGAGGGCCTCTGGACCTTCGCTTCGACGTCTTGGAGGCCTCTTGGGACCCCTTGGGAACCTCTTGGGGCATTCCTAATGGGACGAAGGCGCGGCGCCGGCCTCCCGCAAAGCTCCAGCAGAACCGACTCAAGAGGCTCACGCCGTTCCGCCGACCCCCAGACGAAGTGAGGACTCGTGTGCGTCTTGGTGGGCGTCTCGAAGCCTCGCCAGAGTTTCCTTGGCGCTTGCTGGCTGTTCCTTGGACGCAGTCGCGCGCATGAAATGCCTTCAAGTATCCGGGTGCGTGGGAGGAGTGGTCGCCGCGCAGTCGCTACTCCGCGCATGGGACTCACTGATACTGCGCTTCTCCAGAGGGAGCCCTGAAGTATGTTTCGCGTCGCGCATGAAACGCAATGCTCCCAGAGTGACGTCGTGGATGTTCCATATGACCTTTTCATCTTGGGATTCGGAGAATGAGGGAGATGGAGGAACAGGTTGTGATAGAAAACTAACGAAGACGGTGAGAGGAATGAGGAAAAGGAGAAGGATGTCGAGGACAACGGGACGGTTTGCAATGCTCTCCGGACTCTGTTTGAGGCCCCTTTGTGCAGCTGGCAGGTGTCTTTGGGGATTCTCGGGAAGAATTTGGAGGGTCTCATTTGAAACATGCTCAAAAATGGTCGAAAATCGTCCCCTGATTATTTTTTGACTATTTTGAATCTTCCTCCTGTAGACAGACGTGCCCGACTTAGTCCTGCAGCTTATGGTAGCATCACGCGGTGCCTGCTGGCGGCCCGAGTGGCGGCCTCGTGGAGCTTCGTCGAGGCTCCCGTGAGGTTTGGGGGGGCCATTCGGGAGCTTTGAGGGGGACCTCTTTGAGCCAGTTTTAAGTCGGGTCTGTCCCTCTACAGGGGGGAAATTCAAAAATATGTTAAACATAGTCTGGGGACGATGTTCGATGTTTTTGTTTTGCTATTTTGGTGCATTTTGTGAGTATTTCTAATACTTCACAGAAAATCCGCCTGTAGTGGGACACGCCCGACCTAAAGCCAGTTGGGGGTATTGGGGGCCATCTTTTGGGGGAGGGCTCCCAGGGCCTCTGCGGGCTTCCCTCTTGGGCTTC